GGAGGAACAGAGCGATAATTAACAAGATAAAAGGTGGAGCTGGGAGCAAGAGAAAAACTTTGCCTTTAAAAAAAAAATGTAAAAAGGAAAAATTACAAAAAAAGAAGGGAAGACAAGCAGGGACAGACAGATACAGAGACACAGAAATAGGGATAGAAGGCTGGGGGACTCCCTACCGCTAGCTTGTTTGCTAGAAGCTCAATTATCAGTAGAATGTCTTCATTTCTCTTGTGCCCTGCAATACCTAGTTCACAGGAGCCATGTGGAACCTCCTTCTGCTCCTTAATGTATTTCTAATACGCCTTTTAAGTGTTAGAGGGCATATGTGCTCACCAGAGAGGGGGAGGGAAAGAAAGCACCCCTCAGTGGGTCATGTCACACCACAGTCCCTTCTCCATTTCTCTATCCTGTCATGTACTTTTAATATTTTTAAGTGTTCTTTTTTATTTTTCTTTTAAAAAGCTATATAGGGACCAGTAGATGGCATAATGTGTCTGGACTGTGGTTTAAGTACCAGACCTGGCAGCTCCTTTCTCTTGCTGTCTCTGTATCAAGCCTTGGGGCTAGTTCTATTTTTTTATTTTTTAAGAGGTTTTCGCTGTAGGGCATGTGCGCTCGCCAGACAGACAGAGACATAGAGACAGAAAGCGAGAAATCACCCCCCAGGGGGGATGGTCACGCCGCAATCCCTTCTCCTCCATTCTCCTCTCGGGATCTTGGGCACGCACGCACACACACCCGGCGTGAGTTTTAAGCCACCGGGTCCGGGACGCGAACCGCGGTCAACTACATGGGAGTCCAGCGATATAGCCATTATGCTAACTGCTGGTTCCCGGGGCCAGTTCTATTTTCAGTAAATGTTTGACAGTTTTTTACTTAATAACAGTCTCAGCACTTTCATTAAGCATGCAAGACTAACAAAAACTTTGGCAGTGCATAAGTGTAACCCAGTGACAAGAGAGAGCTTTTACAATTAAGTCTTCTAATACTGCCTTAACAGTGTGGAAATTGTGCTTCAGCCACCAAAAGAGGGCCCCATCTACTCAAATATTTTAGTACTTCACCCCAGGAGCAAACTCCTTTGCATCTGGATTTAGATTCCTCTTGACTGCAAGATCTTCCTGAGAAGAGCCATCACTGATAACAAGGTCATTAAACTGCTCTTGGATTTGGTCCAGTTTGTGGGAGATCTCGAGCTGGAATGTACCACTCATGTTCTACTTCCTCTTCCAGCATTTCTTGGAAACAGCATTCAATAAATTCCTCTTCCCATAACTCCTCCTCTGTTTGTCTATTGAATTTCTCTTCATGTTCCTTCCTCATGTAGTCTGCAAATGGATTGTCGTCTTCACGAGAACGATCGTTAATAATCACATCCTCATTGACGATGCTTGGGCTAGTACTGCTGCGACTTAGATCTTTCATGGTTGGCGTTAGTTGTCCTTCACAGTGCCTGGCAGCAGGGACCACACAGTTGATAAAATTTCTCATGGTCAGAACCAGCAGACGGCATAGCAGTTACGTCACTAGACTCCCATATGGAGGACCACAGTTCAAGTCCCTGACCTGGTGGCTTCAAACTCATGCTTGGCACATATGCGTGCCTGCCTAAGATCTGAGGAAGAGAATGTAGAAGGGATTATGGCATTGCCATTCCCCCTGGGGGTGATTTCTCACTTTCCCTCTCACTATCTCTATCTCTCCCTGGTGAGCACACGCACTCTAAAGCAAAAACTTCTAAAAAATAAAAAAGAGAAATTCTCATGGTCTCTCCACCATGCATCTTCATAATAATTTTGCTGTGAATCACCTTTCATTTCTGGCTTAACTCAAGTTCCGTAACTTATACAAGGGAACATCCCCTCTGAGCCTCTGCCACACAAACCAAGCATTGAAGGAACTTACCAAACTTAAATTTCACGCATCTCCGTGTATTTTGCAGGAGCTTGAGGAGTTCTGGGTTTATAGAGCCCTGTTGGTCGAACTTACCAAGAAGCTGACTTACTGTGTGAAGGCAGAGCTCATCCCTCTGATGGAAGTGACTGGAGTTTTAGAGGTCAGTAGCTTCCCAGTTTTTCAACTGGGGTTATTCAACTAACGAAAAAGTCAGGTTTTGCTATTTTGTGAAGTCTTACTATGGCACCAACAGTAGCAAGAGCCTTATTGCCCATTTGTCATGGAGTCATTTTTTAAAAGATAAATTGCAGTGGAGACTGAGGGA